TTTGCGCCTTTCCTGGATCCCGCTCTGTAGACCAGGCTGGCCTCGAACTCACAAAGATCCGCCTGCCTCTGCCTCCCGAGTGCTGGGATTAAAGGCGTGTACCACCACCGCCCGGCAAGGGCCAAGCATCTTTATTGTATCAAGTTTCTCAGATTTTTTTTGTACCCACCCAACCAAGAGTCTCTGCCAAGAAATCAAAGTCAGCTAAAGATGTCTGATCTAGAACAAGGCCAATGAGAGCTCTGGAAAGCTAAGAGCATCATAGCTGGGGGTGTAAGTGCAGCACACCGCTCTCCTGTTCTCATTTAACCACCTACCCTGCCCACCAATTGAATGTCCATTGAGCTCAGTCTCTGTGTGATAGAGTTTGTGCTGCAGGGCTGAGAAGACCCTGCCCTCCAAATGCCCATGGCTCTGTAATGAGCCCAGTTACAGATGGTGCCAGCCCCGGGTTTCCACAAGGGAAGGTAAACTGATCTTGCTTCCTACAAACAGTAGGCAATGCTCTGCTCGGAGCCTTCGCTAGGCAAATAAATAACAATTTTTTATTCTCCTGTTGATTTTTGAAATGAATTAAAACTAGGATTCTATTCGTAGTAATCATATAAAGCATTCCCTTAATATAAGCCTACTAGTGTATATGTAGTATGCTGCCACCAGGTAAACATTGAATGGCTTAAACTAATCTGAATACCAAGTGTAACTGTTTGGCAGTTTCCTTTAGTGTTAAATATGCAGAGACCATGTAATCCAGCAGTTTCCTACAAAGGAACGCATCCAAAAAGAATGAGTTAGTCAGTTTCCCATTACTATGACAAGCACCTGAGCCAATCATCTTATAAAAGAAAGGGTTTGTTTTGGCTCACAGTTTTAGAGGTACCAGTCTATAGTTAGTTTGTCTTGTTTCTTTTGGGCCTGTGACAAAGCAATGCGTCATGGTGGGGATATAAGGCAGACTAAAACCATTCACCTCATCATGAGCCATGGGGCAAAGAGAGGAAGAAGAGAGCAGCCTTCTACTACCCCCTTTAATGGTACATCCTCAGTGACCCAAAGGCCCTCCCAGGGCTTACCTCCCAAAACTTCCACCACCTATGAGTAGCACCGAGCTGCAGACCAAGCTTTAACACATGAACCTTTGGGGGAGCATACCAGATCCAAATCAAAGCAGAGAATAAACATGTGTCCACAGAAAGACTCACACACAAATGCTCATAGCAACTTTATTAGCAGCACCAAAAGCTAGAAACAGCTTGGGTGTCCATCAACAAGAAGATAGATAAGTAACCATACTATGGAGTACTACTCCATTTTTAAAAACATACTGTTCCACATAACAACACTAATCTCAGAACATTTTTTGTTGAACCAAAGAAGTCAGGCAGAAGTAAGTATAGATGCCAGACTCCATGTCTATGAAACTGTGGGCATAACTTATCTACCGTGCCATAAAGCTCAAATCTACAAGGATGCTATGTAACTTCTGAGGAGATGATAAACTATCTACACATGTGGCGGTAGGTTCTTGGGTTTGTGTATTTGTAAAATTTTGTCAAACAATATGCTGATGAGTTTGTTTTGTAAGTAAACTGCACCTCAATAAAGTTGCTTTAGTAGGTAATACTGGAGAGGCAGAAATCAAAGGTCATAATGGGGTACCTGCAATTTAGGAAACCACACTCCAGGCCACAGTGGAAAGTGAGCTGTGATGAGCTGGGGAGACTTTCCTTCTGCAAAGGTGTAGCTGGAAGTTTTCCTGTGTCCTGGTTGGCTGACAGTCAGATCAAATCTCTCCCATTAGCATCCCCCAAGTAAACACACAGAGGCTTATATTAACTATAACTGCTCAGCCATTAGCTCAGGCTTATTACTGACTAGCTGTTACACTTAACTTAACCCATAATTCTTATCTATGTTTAGCCTCGTGGCTTGGTACCTTTTCTCAGTTCTGCCTTGTCATCTTGCTTCCTCTGTGTCTGGCTGGTGACTCCTGACTCGGCCTTATTCTTCCCAGCATTCTCCTTGTCTGCTTATCCTGCCTACACTTCCTGCCTGGCTACTGACCAATCAGCATTTTATTTATCAACCAATCAGAGCAACACACATCACAGCATACAGAACAACATTCCACACAAAGGGAAAATAGGACATACCATCAGGACCTTCTGTTAAGCCTGAGTACAGATGGGGCTGGGAGGATCAAATAAGTGAACTGGATTGGAACTTATAGTAAGAGAGAGGGGAGGAAGAGGAACAGGACAGAACAAAGTCTAGTGTGCCTAGAGAAAAGAGGAATGGGAGTGAGCCTTGGCCTTGGTCACATACAAAGACCTTTCTAATCCAGTGAGTGAAACCTGAACACATGGGCTTCAATACCAGCAAGTGCAGCCGCCTAATTTTCCCCGGAGCCCCTTTACTCAGGACTTGAGTGGCAGCAATGCCCATCAATAGGGCCAGCACTGGGATGTGCTGAGCAAGGTGCTGCAGACTCAGCCTTGTAAGGGATGGGGTCATTTTTTTTTTCAGGATCCCAACAGGAAGTGCCTCACATGCATCACCCCAGTCCCAGCTCTGCTTTCTGGTTGTCTGGGAGCAGACCCTCATCATTCATGTCTAGGCCTGGCCACGCAGTTCAGGCAATGCACTGTATATGGCACCCTGTTAGGAACAAGTCCTGGGGGAGCTCGAGAAGGAAAACATGGGAGAGAGGAATCCCAGGAGTCTGTGTATGCTCAGAGGGGAAATCCTGGATCCAGGCTGAGATGGGTGGTCCCCAAAAATTTTAGGAGTGACTGTTGAGATTTGAAGACAAGTACAAGAGAGGACTCAAGGCTGTTCTTCTAGTTCTTTCCAGTATATAGGATGACAATGAGAGCCCAGGGTCAACAATTTGCAATTTCTGATGCCTCCTTGCCTTGGTAGGTTTGCACCCTGTATCAAGCCCTACAGTGCTATGATGTCCCAGATGGAGTCCATCCCAGCAACCTCAATTAGCGCCAGCTCGCCAGCAGCCCCGGTGATGGTAGAGTCCACTGAGGTGGACTTCAGTGATTCTATTAAGTAAGTAGGCAAAACCAGTGTGGGCTTGTCCTTAACATTCTTTCCTCTCACTGAATTTACATTCTCAACGCCCATCCCTTACTTGTCCACTCAGCCATACATTAGTCAGCAGTTACCTGAGTGGATTCTGTGTTAGGCCCACCATTGGCTCTCTGCTCTCAGGTGGGGTACAGAGTTCTTAACCCTGGGGAACTGAGTCCTTCCTTCCCATTGCCCCTCCACAGAGCAAAGCTCTGCAGACAAGATGGAACTCTGGGTAGAATGCAGAAAATAACATCATTATCTATCTATCCAACACTGTGTTCTCACAACAAAATTCTCTAAGTAATTGTGAAATTCAGCTAGGCATGTCATGCCAGTACTCGGGAGCCTGAGGCAGGGGGATTATGAGCTTGAGGCCAGCCTGGGCTACATAGTGACAGTCTCAAAAACAAAATAAAAACTTACGAATTTGAACACTGAGGACTTGTCCAAACTGTCTGAAGAATTGCCCATGCTTTCCAGGATGCCTTTTAAGTAGGACATGAACTTGATGCCCCAGGAAAGGGCGGCCTCTGGGAAACTGAGCAGTGTAAAGGCCCACTCGACACATTTGAAGGCAGAGGACAGCTGAGCACTGCTATCTGATCTCTTAGAGAAAGTGTCTCTTGAGTGGTACTCTGTATTGTTCTGGGCTATGGCAGAGAGGAAGAGGAGAGTGGGAGATACAGTCGGGCTGATGGTGATGGCTATCAAGTGAGTGATCCTCTCATTTCCTTAAACTCCCCAGGACTATCCTTATGGATGATGAAGCTGGACCTGAAGAAAGAGAAATCAAAAAGCCCACAGCATCCACCATGATCTCAGAAGTATGATTCCTTTGCTCCTGGGCAGGGTTAGCAAGCAAAGAGTCCTTCCCAAAGCAGAGAAGAGCGAGGATCAGAGTGCCAAGTGTAATGCTGGGTGTGGGGCTGGCATGAGGCCGAAGAGCTTTGTCCAGGTCCCCTCACCCCAGAGTGAGCACCTCAGTGAGAGCCCAGGGTACCTCAGGACACAATTTCTGGAAGTGAAAAATTGGGATCTCCAAGGCTGGTGGGTCACATGCTCTTCCCTCTCCCCGCCAAGAGGCTGCTAATGGAGACGTATTCCTCAGGAACAGTGTAGTATATGCAAAGGCAAGTCTGAGGCTGTGGGCCAGAGAAATGGCTCAGAGGGTAAAGTGCCCGCTGTGCAAGCATGAGTGCTGAGTTCAGGTCTCCAGCACCCATGGAAAAGCCGAGCTCTGTGTAGTCCCAGCACTGGTGGGATGGCTGTGGAGACAGGTAGAAGCCTGCAGTCTGGCTGAATTGGTGAATTCCAGATTCAGTAAGAGACTCTCTCAAAAAAAAAATAAGGTGGAGAGTGATCAAGATGTAAACATTGACCCCTAACCTCCACATACATATACACACATGTACACAGGCACCTGTACTCACATATGAGCAATAAACATAAACACATACATACACATACGTACACACTCCCATACACACATATGCCCATATCCCACACTCCCATATATAGAATATACACACTTAGATACTTCCTCTAGAATGATAGGCTAAGAAAACCATTGGAGACACAAAGTTCTCCACCAGAAAGATGTTTTCTTAATTACACCTTAGAAATAGTAAAAAAAAGAAAATTGAAAAAAATGCAAAATTACTGTATATCCATGCTAAGACACAGTCATGACAAAGAATACACATGAGCAAAGATGTTCATATGTACAGGCAGGGGTGCACATTGGTATAACCTCTATGACATGTAACTCGGAAGGTATATCAATATTTAAAATGCATACTTCTTCTCAATTATTCTCCAGACATGCCCCTGTGTTTATATGAAGATACAACTAGCCTTGTACTTCATAGCTTTGTTTAAAAGAACAAGAATGTTTTGGAAACAACAATTCTTCCAACAGGAGATTAACTGAATAAACTAAATTACATCTACACAAGGCAGAACCATGGAATGGAATTCTATTGTAAAAACCCAGTAGGTTCTCTGCTAGTTTGGTATAAACTCTGAAGTATCAAATAAAAAAGTAATAGGAGAAAATGGGCACATAGTGTGCTACCTTTTAAGCCAAGACAAAAGTATATAAAAGCAAAAACTAATAGTTACTTTTTAAAAGTTTTTATATATGTGTTTTTTGCCTACATGTGTGTATGTGCATTATGTGTATGCAGTGCCCACAGAGGCCAGTAGAGGGCATCAGACCCTCTGGAACTGAACAGATGGTTATGTGCTGTCAAGTGGGTGCTGGGAATAGAATCCAGATCCCTGCAAGAGCAGGCATTGATTTTACTCACTGAGCCATTTCTCCAGCTCCAACAACTAGCACATATTGAGCACTAAGTATGCTTTGCACAGTTGTAACCATTTTTTACATTGTCTCTGTTGGTGAGAACCATTGCCCTTTGCCTCTTTTTGTGAGGGGATGCATGTGTGAGGCAGTCTAGCTGGGAGACTTGGCAGTCTCTATGTTTCTTAAATGGTGACATAGATATATTTGCTTATGCATAGAATATCTAAGAATTACAAGTATCGTGAGTGCAGGGGTTTTCTTTTTCCTGTTCTGTTTACCATTTTATCCCCAGAACCTAGAACTACTGCATAGTATGTCGTCCATAAGTATTAGTCCAATAAAGACTGAAAAGGTGACTCGGCAGTTAAGAGCACTTAGTGCTCTTCCAGAGGACATTCCCGGCACCCACATCAGGAGGCTCACAACCACCTGTAGCTCCAGCTCCATAGCATCATCTCTGGCCTCCGTGGACACCTCCACTTGTACACTTACCCATTCTCAAATGCATGCATAAATACATATAAATGTTTTTAAATAAATTTTTAAAAATTAGTCAAAAGAAGAAAATAATCAGATAGACCCTATCAAAACCCAAACAGTGGTTACCTAAGAGACAACGGAAGAGTAAGGAATTTTGGTGGAAGTATTATTTTTTTTAGCTATATAACTTTTCAAATATTTTTTATTTGTATCATGAATATGTACCAACTACTTTTAATATTCTAAATGATGCTCTTGAAGACTATTCCATCATGTGAGATAGAGATAGATAGACATATATACACAGGACAGAGACTCATTCATACATGTGTACTATAACCTATTAATTGATTGTAATTTCCTTCCTTAAATCTTTCCCTACTTTTTAATTTCACATACTTGTCTTCTGAATGTTCATTCATTTCCATCCTCAGAGATGCTTGTCATCAAAAATTCATGCAGTACAGAAAAATCAAAGCAAAACTCCTTTGAATCCCTTCATTCAAAAGAAAAATACTACTGAGATGCTTAGCAGTCTCCCAGATACTGTTTTGCATATGCAAGCCTCAGAATGAGTTTACACCCACTCATGCCTTCAGAGTGTGACTCACATGAGCCCTCTGCGATTTTACTTGAATGAAACCACCTTTTCTCTCAAGAGCATGTTGTATGTATCATTCCTGGTCCACAAATACATATTGGGTCATCCTCCATGAATAGAGAGGTACCACGCACACTTTATTTAAAGCGAGCTATCTCTGGTGGGCAGACAGCTTGTTTTCAGAGCTCCCCTGTTAAAATAACTCTGTTGTACATATCCATATATGTACATTTTGGGCATTGTCCAATTATTGTCATAGGAAAAAAGGTCCAGTTTTTTAAAAAGATACTTTCAGTTGCATAAACTTGTGTTGGGGAGGATATATGCACATGAGTGCAGTGCCTGTGGTGGCCAGAAGAGAGAGCCAGATCTCTTGAACGGGAGTTATAGGTCCCTCTGAGCCACTCAACATGGGTGCTAGGATCAGAAACTGAGGTCCTCTGAAATAGCAGTACCTGCTGTTAGCCACTGAGCCAACACTCCACACACCCACCCCACGTGTCCTGTTCTTTCCACCATATTTTCTGTGTTTCCGCTTTCTCAAAGGGATGGATGGAGAAGTGTGCATTGATGAGTTGCACGTGCTTCCTAGCCTTTCCTCCCTCTTTCATTTCTAGGCAATAAAATACAGCTCAGCAGGAACAGAAAGAAGCCAGAGCCAGGTGGACTACCCAGAATCCCTGTGGATCTTTGAACAGGAGGAAATGCTTTCCATCGGAATAGAAGAAGTAAGTGATATCCCAAGGTCCTTAATTATCCAGCACTGATGCTTCCAAGCCCCTGCTCTGGATCAGAAACTAGCATCTAACCAGAGTGTTTCCACTGTTACCTTCATACATGCCCAAGAGTCAAATTAGAAGTCAGGAATAAGTCTGTCCACTGACAAAATTTAACTCCCCTGCTGCAGACCCATCACCATGACAGCTCTTCCCGTGTGGGATGACTTTCTCTGCAGGTGTTTGACATTCTGCCCCTCTACGGAGTTCTGCGGCCATATAGCAGCCATCAGATATCATTTACCTTCTATGGACACTGTGACATCATTGCGCGGGCCAAAGCTCTTTGTGAAGTGGAAGGAGGGCCCACCTATGAAATAATACTGAAGGGAGAGGCTTCCCTGGTCAGCTACTCCTTTGACACTAAGGACATTAACTATGGATTACAGGTACTGCAGACGTCAGGTGGGGTTTTTCTGGGTTTGCCTTAAACATGGATTGCAGTCCTTACCCTTGAATCTCTCTTGAACCATCACTCATCATTCATGTCCTTCATCCATGATCAGCTTCCCTACCCTGGTCCCCCCACCCCCATTTGCAATCCTTTTCTTTTGCTTTTCTTACTGTCTCAAGTTTAGCATCGGAAGATGCTCGTCTTTCAGTCCAGAGGCTGCCACGACCCTTCTCTTTCTCTTGTTAACACTATTTTCTCACACCCCTCCCTTTACAATCTCCAGGGCTTTTTTCGCTGCCCTCTCCCACACACCCCACATACTTGCAGCACCCAGTATTTCCAAGTTACCCACCTGAGTTCCACTCGGAATCACTCCAATCACACTGCGGGACTTCATCAAGCCATACTTAAATTTTTGTTTTGATGTTTTGGGTTTTGATTTTTAGAGACAGAGTCTCATGCAGCCAGGCTTACCTCAAACTCTCTGTGCAGCCAAGGGATGACTTCACACTCCTGATCCTCCCACCTCCCCCTCCCAAGTGCTAGGATTATGTGCACACAGGGGGACACCTGGCTGCCGTGCCTAAATATTACAGCAGTCTGCCCACACTATAGTACGTAAAGAACTCAGGGTCTGATTCAGTGGGCACAGCCTTTGGCCTGGGGTTTCACTTTTCAAAAGCAATCTCCCTGCCATGTGATGTCAATGCCGCTCACCCCTACAGCATGCCCCCAAAAAGTTAATTAAAAAGAAAACAACACAAACAAAACCCACCTCATTCCTCCGTCTTTCCAACACCTCTTCCATTCATCCTAGTGGCATCGGGAGCTGAGGTGTGTCACGCAGTAGACCCTTTTGTCCAATCAGCCCCACCTGCAGAATGTTTGTTGAAATGAGCCATTGGTCTGGTTCAAGGCCTCTGGTACACCGTCATCACGGGACCCTCACTGAAATGCCTCTCAGACATCCTGCTGTTTCCCCAAGTTATGGAGATCCTGCAGTCATCATTCCACAGGAGCAGTCCCTCCATGCACTCCAGCAGGTCATGGATGGAGTAGATAATGGAGTGGGCCAGCCGACTGACCAGTATCTTAAGGAGTGTCTGTGGGGCACATTTGCTGATCCCCTTTGTCAGGGCGAGAGCACAGTCCCACAAACAGGTGACAGCCCTTCCTCCCACCCTCTCTCCAGCTGTTCGACCATGTCACGGAACGAGAAATCACACTGAAAAACATTGGGAAAGTTGGCTTTGAGTTCAAGGTTCTGAACAGCAACCGGTCTTCACCAAAGAACCTGCTCCCTGGAGTACCACTAATCCTGCCTCTGTCGGTGAGTCACACTGAGGGCTCACACCGAGCAGACGAGCCACACCCAGGCCGGGGAGCACTGCTGTCAGTACTACAGGTGTGACTTTTCTAGTTAAAACTGAGAACTGGGAGGCAGAGATGATGGTGTGCATGTGTAATCCCAGCATTCAAGAGGGCAAAGCAGGAGGACCAGGGGGTTGATGGAAGCCAGTCTTGGCTATTTAGCAAGTCTGAGGCCATCCTGGGTTCTATGAACCTCTGTCGGTAGATGGATTGATGGGTGGGTGGATAGAGTGATAGAAAGATAGAACACTCTTCAATAAATGAACATTGATCAAGTCCTATATTACCCATTTCCAGATACCACGGACACATGATGAATCAATTAGAGACAACCTAAGGATTTTCCCCATAATAGTAATTAATTTTAGTTAGACGTGGTGGTGCACCTTTCAAATCCCAGTACCCTGGAGGCAGAGGAAAGGAGGACCTTACATTTAAGGCCACCCTGTATGATGAGATACTCTTTCAATGGAGGGGGGGGCGCACTTCCCACCAGTACATCAAATTTCCCTATACCCTGGGGCTTCCCCCATACCAGCCATGCCAAAGCAACTTTTCCTCTGCATTTATGAAAACACCCACAGCCTGCAAAGGGTCTCTCTGGTTTCCAAAGTAAGAGGGGAAATGGCACCTGATGATATTAGAGTGATCTCGCAGTTTTTAAAAACTTTTGTTGACTTTTTCTCCTCTTGAAGATGACACATGATTGTTATAAAAAGTTAGAAAATATAAAAAGGGTAGAATTAATTTATAGTTATTCATCATCCTTTTTCAAGTTTTTTTTTTTTTTTTTTTTTTTTTTTTTTTTTTTTTT